AGGGGGGGGGAATAAAATTAAAAATAGAACCTTACACAAAGATCACAAAAAGTAAACTCTTTTTTAACTCCTTTTTCTTCTTCTTTTTTTATTTGAAAATAAACTTTACGTAAAAAAAAATCATTTTATACGTGTAAAGTTTTTGGTAAACTTTGTCTATTTAAGAAAATAGGTTTCCAACATGGCTAAAAAGTAAAAAATCATTTTATAAAATGGCTTATTTGCATAAATTTCTCATTTTTTTCCCTTCTTTTTCAAAAACACAAATAAAACAAATATCATTTCTTTTTTATTATTTTCTCTCCCTTGGCTTTTTTTTATTTATTTTCTTTATATAGAAATACATGATAATGATGTTTTTCATTTGATTAAGGGGCAGTTTACCGAACGCTTACTCGGGTAAGCACTTACCAAGTTACGTTACCTTACCGGATGAATATGGTAAAGACCAAGAATCTTACCCGATAAGAGCGGAACAAGGATTGAAAGTCTTACCCGGTAAGTGAGAGTGACAGCTCTTACCACGATTAGTGTTTACCGGGTAAATTGTTGCATACGATTTTGTTTTTGTGAACTAAAACCTTACCCGATAAGTAAACAATAGTGTTGAATTTCACGGGTAAGTGCTTACCGGGTAAGTGATTAAGTAAACGGCTCCCAAGTTTTTATTGAAAAGATATATAAAGAATATAGGTGTTTGATCAATTGAATTCCAATGAATTTAGGTGGATCCGATCTCATCCAATCCTCTAGCTCCAATGGAATTTGGATTTTATCATCCAATCCAATGAAATGAATGATTGAATTAGAGACCGGTTCCATCTATTATATACTACTCTTGGTTATTCATTGGATCCATACAATATTTTTATACAATTTTCAACCAATTATTCATATATTTTCTTAATTATTCGAGAAACTATTAACAATAAAAACCCTTAAACCTGCCCAATAAGAAAACCCAAAATACCTTCTAAAGGTACCCAAAAATCAAATAAACTTTTTCATGTTTCAATTACAGTTTTCATGCTTTTTGGAGAGTATACTTAGGTTATGGTTGGCAACCTTAACTTATATGCTAATTGTTCATCAATAAGTTAAATGTTAACATCGCTTTGTCAACTTAATATGCATTAATATACAGTTTCATGCATAAAAAATGATTTTTAAGAGTTTTTATCAAATGCTTTATAATATAATATAGATATTTAAGCATGTTTATCAGTTGATTATGGATTTGTTTTATACCATCCAAACTTATTAATAAGTTATACAATGTCATAATAAATTGTAAAATATTCTATAATATACTACTAGTGAGTGAAACTACGAAAACCATGTTCAAAAAATTGAGAAAAAGGACATATCAAATAGGGAAGGGTAAGAAAGGAGTTCGACCCTTGGATCAATCTTAATCGGAAAAAACCATTATATCAACACTAATGAGATACACTAAATTAATTCCAATTTGAAGCACAATCCACGGATTGTTTTGGAATTCAAGTGATCAAGAATCCAAATCCCTTCTCACCCTAACTCTTATTCTCACATAATCCTTCATCTATCAACTATTGGTACCAAATTATTATGAAAAAAATTAATTTTTTCAATACAATTTGTTTAATTAAAAAACTAATTACAATTAAAAACTAATCACTCTTATGGATTCCAAAACCCTTAAAACGTTTATTTTTATTGTTTATTATTTTTATTTTTATTGTTTATTAATAATAATATCATATGGAAAAGGGTTAGTTTTCAGAACTTGTTAAAGCTTCCATATTGTTTTGTACAAAATACTTTTTAACACTTGTATTCTACTGAGATCACAGATTTGGTTAAAACAAAAGAGGAGAGAGAAGCCTAAGCTTTAAATGGTGTTGGGGATTGCGTATTTGAAACAATTTTTTTATAAAAGCACTTATCAACTTATTATAAGTCAAAAGAATTTAACTTTTTCAAAAAACTTCTTATTACCGGTTTGACACCAGTATAAATTGTTTATCCAAGCACTCAAAAGTGTTTATTACCGATGTCACACCGGAATAAATCAATAAGTTATTTCTATAAGCAATCCCAAACATCCCCTTAAAACACATTGCTAAATAAAACCACCAATATTCTATAGTTCTAATCTAAACAACCCTAGCTCCTAATAATATTTTAAAGCAATAAATTTAATTTCATCAACAAACCACTAATCCAACCAATTACTCCTGACTTCACTATCCACGAGTCTTCCCCTCTAGTTTCAACACCACTTACTCACTCACCAAAAACATTTAGGTGCATTGTAGCCAAGTGCAGAGCGGATAACTACTGAAAGCATCTAAGTAGTAAGCCCACCTCAAGATGAGTGAAATATATAAAGCAACGGAGCCATCATAGTATTTTTGAATTTCTCGAAATGGGAGCAGGTTTGAAAAAAGATCTTAGAGTCTCTAGGGTTGATTTCCATGATATGGAATTGGATTGCATTCCAATTTTGCATTTACTTTTAAGGAAAAGCCAGAACTGAAATCAATATTTGACTCAAAAATCTGATGAGGGTAGTTGGTATTTTCACGGAATTTAATAGATTTGTTTGTAATAATGTTCTAAAATATATTTAAAAACATACATTTTGTAATAATAGAATAATAAAAAAGTTAACCAAATTATTTTTATAATTACTTATAATTTGTTTCTATAAATTATCTATAAAGAATGGAGCTCAATTTCATCCTAAATCCTACAAACCAAACACAACAAAGATTCCAAATCCTTCCACGAAATCCAAATCCCTCAAAAAACATTCTGTCAACCCAAACACCCCATTAATATTTGTGTCTCCCTGCTTCTTACATCTATCATGTCTTTATACTTATGAATCTACGTACATTTTACCTCTCCAGACCCCACTTTCAGGTGGATGTACTAGGTTAGTTTGGTTTTATCATAACTCCTCTCCTAACTCATCAAAATCTTATCTAACACATCCATCAATAAACAAATTAATCTATTCAGACCTAACCATTTGTGATCATGAAACAAGTTGGTTGGTAACTTACTAACTTCTAACATTGCAACTTCCCAAAATATTAAGGTAGTAGGGGGTAAAGAATTGGAAAGGGAATGAATAATGACCCTTGGTTCAATATAATATAATATAATGAGTAATTACTTAGAAGTAGGTAATCATCCACACCCTAGTAAATAGAGGGGAATGAATCATTCCTTGTTATACTCATTCCCATTCCTATTCCAATTCCATTAAAATAAGCCCCCTAAGAGATGTTTATGGTTTTCATTAAAACTTTTTGCCTTCCCTCATGTTATCATTGAGGATTCAATGATGTGGTTGGCTTCAGTTTAGAACAAAGAAGATATGAAAGCATCAAGACATTTAAGTTAAAACATACCTCAATTCAGCTTCTTCAATAAGTCTTCAGAATGTTTGATCAGCCAGTATAAGAAGCCAAGGGCTATGGTAATATAGCCAGATTCCACTGACCAAACTTTTTTCTACTTCTTGGTGAAGACATCAAGAGCATTAGTTAACAAAAGTTAAGAAAGCTACTGATGACTTTAATATCCAACAGCTGACCACACTATTAGATCTGTATCATCAAAGCAAAACAAGATTAAAAATCAGATACCAACAACCCTAAATCCATCTCCTGTCTATATATGCTTTGATTGGTCAACACAACCAATTCTTTTTCTTTATATAAAAGATTATATATATAGACCATGGCTGCTTACCAAAACCAGACAAAAAAGCCAGTGTACCAATTGTGCAGCTTCAAATACATATTTACCTTCATACCATTCCAGATTGTTGTTCTAATGCACTCTTTTCCTCTTATTATGGTGATACCTGTCTATGCTGTCATCATCAAAATCATTGACTATCTTCCATCTGCCTCCATAATCAGCAATGGGCTTCATTCTGTCCCTGCTTCCTCTGAAATCATTGCTAACATATGACTCCCTTTTAACATCCCTTTCTTTTTTTATTTGATGATGATGGCTACAACTACAATCACTATCTGACTGCTCCCTGCTATTATGATGCCTTCTGGACCTTTGGTGGTACTTTTTATGCCTCACTTCATCATACCTATAGTTACCACTATGCACATCCTCTATCCCCGAAGCAGATCTATCTGTATGATATGACCCACGATCTCTCCCATTGTTTGTGGAATGAGAATGTTTTTCAAATCTTCCGTGACCAGATTTGATCTTTTGATCTGGATGTTTGTCACCGTGACGATCCTTTTGCAACTTCCGCCCATGGCTTTCCTCGGAATTGCTCAGAGCCTTTCCCTTGTCTCTATGGGATTTAAAGTCCGATGATCTTTCTCGCTCATGGCAGTCATGGTGTTTCCGGATGCCATCATCTTCATAATCGAAAGACTCTTGTCTGGTAAAAAAAATTAATCAAAAATCAAGAGTCTAAACACAGGAAAAAATAAGACAAAAGAGTCAATATTAGGTAAGGAGAGCGGGGCAACTATATATTAGATAAGCACTGAACTTTGGATGATAAAAATAAAAATTCAACATTAAATTGAGTTAACAACGGATACAACTAACATTAGCAACATAGTGAATGCCATCGAATTCAGATTAAGAACATGTTAGCCACTTACATTATATTAACCTCAATCCCAAAATCATCAATAAGAGATGATAGGCAAAGAATGAGGAGTCAATGAGGTAAAGGACTTGATGTGAATGTTCAATATGATATAACTTCCCCCCCCCCCCTTTTATGAAATATACTTGTCGAAAAGAAGCTTAATGGACTCAGAATTCACTTAAGCTAAAAGTGTCCGAGAAACTAATTCATTAAAAATGGTCCCGATTGGCTAGCGTTACTATAAAGTACCATTTATTGTAAGTTACAATGGGAACAACACTACTCCTGCATATGAAGTATCTCACACATCACAGTGTGTAAAGTAAAAAACAATAATGCTACTTTAGCAACATCAACTCTAAGCTTCCCGATCCTACTGTATAGAAGAGGCATTTTCCATCTCAAAAGACATCCAAAGAAAGCTTATTTAATGACCAAAACTTGGAAGTTTGATCATTTTACGAGCTTCCATTTGGAACTCATGTAGGATTCCTAGTATAACCCCATTTAGTGAAAACTACTTCACATTTGGAAACTCAATGAAGCGAATAACCATAAATCAACAGATTGATTGCTAATTTGATCCTGATACTGCTGTTATATCATAAAAGAACTACCTCCTCTCATGACAATGTTTTATTCCATTATCATTGTTCAGAAGCTCCAAATTCTCTGAATGTCTCCAGGGTCGTTCAGCTCTGGTGCCTGCAGGTGCCAGGCCCCCTATCCTTGTAATTCCACTGCCAAATAAGGAATAAAAAATTGCAACGCATAGACAATAATGAGTGCTTCTGAAAATGAAGAAGCAAGTAAGAACCAGAAAATGCACATATAACATGTTCACCTAGGAACAGGTAAGCAGCCATACGTAGATGGAACTCCATAAGGTATAACAGGGACCATAGTGGCATTAAAAGGCACCATCCCTGGGTTTCCATACATATTCATGTAAGGGTTGACAGGGAGAAATGCAGCAGCATTCCAGTAGGGCATCGCATAACCAGGCATACCTCCCTGAAACATACGATCTCCTGAAAGCCGCACAACATTATCACCAGATGGTCTTACATAATCTAGGAACCCTTTTATAGAAAGCAGAACTTACCTGTATGAAACATGGGATGTTCAGTAGAACCAATAGGGCAATCTCTTATGAGATGGCCAGGAGAGCCACACATGTAACAAGTACGACCTGCCTGAGATCAACAAGGTAAGTGTCCACATCAGATAGAAGGTAGTTTGTAAGCACATCTCCACCTACTAATAATAATGCAATTCATCACTGACACTTTTTATCTTTCCAAGATCATAAAGTTGTTCAACCCATCAAACATTGAGATAAACAGTTCTCAAGAATCAAGATAATGCAAAACCCAGAAACCTAAAAACATTTTATTCAAAAACGAAAGGCCTAAAACATTCATAGTCATGTGTGTTTTATCATTTTTGTAAGTGGACTGCCAAATAGCAAGAACAGACTTGTGAAATCATTACATCAAGCTAACAGAAGTAGTTTGTGAAACAATGTCCTAAAACAACAGGAAACCTATAACAAAATATCCAACAGAAAAATAGTGCCACATGCCTGCATGGTAATCCCTACAGTTCTAATTTTATTCGTTTACTCTAATTTTAACTAGAAGAAGCCAAGTCCCGTGTCATTAAACACCACATTCTAGTCATCATAAATAGGTTGGATATTTACGGTTTCCCAATAGTACTCCTTTTATATTTCATGCATATGGGCAAGTATTAGTACAAAGTGGGGCTGCCCATAAAAGCAGATTCTAAACTCATTAACTATTAGAAGTCCCGCCCGAGCCATTATATAAATCTGCATGTGAACGCATTAACTAATCCTGCACACTGTTCTTTTCCCACAATCACATGAGTACCAATTCTAAACAAAATCATGGATTCATGGTCAATAGAACAAAGTACCTTTTTGTTTCTACTGCCAATTGCGTAACTCTGATCTCCACCTAACAAAATAACATATTCAAAATATTGGTTAAAGAACAAAATTCTAGTACGCATAGCATGAAGTGGTCATATTTTCGGCAGCTCTGTACCTCCAGAATTACCCCACTTTCCCCATTTCTTGCTGGTGGAATCGGCTGGAAGGTAAAAGCAATCAAAAAAATGTTAGTCTTGATAGAGGTAGCAAGAAGTAATAGAAGTGCACTAAATAGAATATTACTATGCATGTCCAAAGAAAGAGTCCACGTTTGAATTTTGTGTCATGTAGGTTACTTTTTTTAGCTCAAATAAAATCGAACTTGTGTCGGTTGTACGTTTAAAAAAACGATTACTAGATCAAACCAAAAGCCAAATCATCCACGTCAACTTTAGACTTGAAAAGTAGAACTTTTGAATTTCCAAAACAAAAAGTATGGTCTTTTGGGGACAGATGGAGTAACAGCTAATATGTCATTCTTTTGAAATTGTAAGTATATGAGGAATAAGAAATACCTTCATCAGGCACGCAAACTTGGGGCATGAGAGGTTGGTTTTCGCCTTGAGAGTCCGCATAAGGTGCCAAATATTCATGTGCATCTCTACCTCCATTATTGTTATTTATTTTAGGCAAAGGAGTTGAATTGAAGAGGCCAAGTGCAGTCGATTTACCGACATAGAATCCTGTTGACTCTGCCATATTTTGATTTGATCCTTTCTCCGTTGCAGAGGTAGAATAAAGCAAATCCAATTTCCTTTTAGTCACGACTGAAACATCCTTCCCCTGAATACCAGATTCTCCATCTGAAATAAAATTTCAAAGAATTACACATGGACCACATCGGAATAAAGTTACCCATCTCTGATTTATTTCAGCCAAGTGATGTCAATAGATCTCACCTGGGACATATTTCTGCAAATCATTTTCTGGAGCAGTGGCAAGAAGCTGAGACTCAAGAAAATGCTCGATGGCAAGCCTAAGAGACAAATTTGGTAGCAAGTGCTCTACCCTGTATTTGGTGGAAGAACATGTAGGGCACCTCGCCATTAGTGTAAGTACTTCAAGAATGCCTGTGAGAGCACAAACAAAAACATGTTGAATAAGTACGTTAAAGATTCTCACACCCCCTCTCTTCCTTCACTTAGGATAGTAAACAAAATCCACAGCAAGACATGTCACTTAGCTATTACAGCCCAAGCATTCAACTATGTTCAATATGAGCGCAAAACCATCAGAGCATGAGCGAAGTATGACTGCAAACCTTTGAGGGGTTAACTCACTGCCAATAAAGGCTTGGGCTTTAGGGGACCTCCTCGTAGGTCACCAGTTCAAGTCCCTTCAAGGCCACTGAAGATTTTCCTGGTTCTCTTCAGGGCCCCATGGGATTAGTCGAGGTGCCCGGACAGCCACGGTTAACAAAGAAAAAAGTACGATTGACAAGAACTTAGATTTAGCTAGTGCTGTATGTGTCTCTTCACTTGTTTTCTTCTTGAGAAATGACACACATGTGCGTGTGTGATGTGTGTACCTGAAGGGAGTTACAACAACGGACAAGAAGATAAGGGGGAATAAGCAAGAAGTGGATGAATAAGTAAGGCTAGATAAGCAAAAAGTAGATGAATGTCTTTATGCAAACCATCTGATTTAGTAAATATTTGAATATACCATCCGATTATAGTAAAAGAAATTGAGATACAACTTGTAGACCTTATATGACATGTTAACCTTACAATGACACTTGAACCATCAACCTCCAAAGATCTCTCTAGCTAATAATGGAAGGCAATCTATTATCACCAGTAAAATGTTGGTACTTCTTGTATATAACTGAAAAAATTGCAAGCCAGTGAGCTACTATGTGCTAAAATTCTCAGTTGATGTAGGCCTACCATTGTCCAACCCACAAAACCCTTGTAGAAAACTCCTATAATTTGTAGGATCGGTTAAATTCCAAAATGAAAGTTAGTCCAAAATTTATATCTAGGAAAAGCTTATATCTCCGTTTTAGACACAAATAATGAAGTAAACACGAAGAAGCAAGGTATGCTATAAATAGTGGCATATAACTCCTCAACCAAGAAACACATGTAAAAGAAATGCAATTCTTCTTGTTCTAGTGCTATGTACTTGGTCCTTGTACATGGAAACCAAAGAGTTATAAGTATACAAACCCTACCAACAATAAGAGAAAGAAAGCAGCCTTATCTATCACCACCCCTTTTAGCAGAAAAAAAAATAGCATGGCACAACTTTTTATACAACAAATTAGAAGATACAAATGGTAAGGAAGAGACGGCCTAATTTACATTTGGTTGGATAAGATAGCCCAAATAATGATTAGTGAACACTTAACCCCTGTAGATCCATAACCCTCGATTATTCTCCAATTGAGCTAAAACCACAAAGCATCGCAAAGGCACAGCTCCAAATAGCAAAAAGATCTTACACCCTCAGGGTAGATTTTTAAAAGTAACTTTGTGAAAAGATCCTGAGCTGACAATAAAAAAGATCTTTACCATGTGCAAATGAGACTAATACAAATGAAAAAACTAAGAAATAATATTAATAAAACTAACTATGCCAGGAGTTAGCTGATAAAATAAGCGTAGTTAGCAAGCCATAAAGAGAGAGAATTGAAAACATCACTTCTGAACCAGGATGCCACTGTCACTTCCCCTCAACAGTCTCTTAGATAAGATTAAATTCTAAATGGTTGTATGCCTTGACTACAGAGGTATTAGGAATTACAATTCATTACACTTTTCATGAAGCAATGTTCTTATGTATGCACACACACACAAACATGCACAGACATCTATATGTAGAGAGAGAGATTTGCTTATGCCCATAATATCAAATATCAATATCAACAACTTAAGGGCTCACATTTTTCACAAAAGCTATGCTGACAGCATGGTATCATCACAGCCTCCTTGAAATGTGTGTTGCATATAGGACATCTTAGTTCTGATGGCAGGTCAACTTTTTGCAAATCGAATCCCTTCGTGTTAGCCACTCTTTGATGTCAAGTCAAGACAAAGAAACAAAAGATTTTTTAGATAACCAGAAAAACTTGCTTATGAGAATCTAACAAGATGAAATGGCACAAATATTACTTTTCCAATTTCTTATGTTTAGTGTCTTCAAGTGTGAGCTTCTTCTCTAGAACTATTTCCTCCTGTTTATGGCTGTCCATAACTGCATTTATGAATGAAGTGTGTTAGAGTTAGAACAACCCACCAAAACAATCATGTTTAGTTGCTTTAAAATGATATGCACCTTTTGGAATATCCTCACTAAGCTCACTTGCTTCAACCTTACGATGTCTTAACCTGGACAAAACAGAGTATCAAATGCCAAGTTTCAAGACAAGAAAAACAAAGACGGATAAATTATAAGTTAATCAACAGTACATATCAAATAATGGAATAGAAGACAGGTAATGTAAGGAAATAAAAGAAGCAGGTCTCTCTGGGATTCAAGCCTCCAATCCTATGACTGAGATTTGGAATAGAAAACCCCATCTGGCTGAAAAATGGAAAACTGCTAAACCCAAACAACCAAACCCACTCGGTATATCCCACTCGAAAGCAGGGAGGGGTAGGATGTACACAGTCGTGACCTCTATCCCCAAACCATGGGGTGGCTGTTTCCATGAAGACCCCAGGCTTTGTGCCAAAATGTGAGTGAAAAAAAAAGGATAAGAACAAGAAGGATAATCAAGACTAGCACATATTATACAGCAAAGAAAAGGCATAAATAAAACATATACAAAGTAAGAAAATACACACAACCCTCCATCTAACGCTGGCCTCTAATACCCTAGCTGTCAGCTCCCCAATCCTCTGTAAGTTCATAAGATCCCATTCTATTTTAAAAATACCCATGCCTCCATAGCTCCCCTCGGCCCTCCCATTCATGTACTCGCACTAATTGATCAGCTTGTCTGGTACGTAAATCTGTAACTCTCTTACTCTAAGTTCAAAGGGACCAGAACAACATAAAATCATTTTACATATATCATCACGGTGTATGAAGGAAACTTAATTCAAGAAAACGGGATAAAACTTACATAGCTGAAGGCACTGGTTCGGCCGGAACCCTCTTTATGATTACACTGGAACCACTAGTGATCTTGAATTCATCATCATTGTAATCTGATAACTCAAGAAACAAAAAACCAAAATAAAAATCCAATTCATGATGCATAAAAACACACCCCGTGCAGAAAATTTTTGTAGGCAAACAAATTCTACAAAAGATGCGTGTAATTCAAGCAAAAGAAATACAAAAACATAAAGTAATAGTAGAATTTAGAAATAACCTTGACCGGTCAGATCATCAAAGAAGACGAGATCGAAGTCTTTATGACATATGCCGTTTAGTTTCTTTTGGCAAAGAATTTTATTTCTTAGTTCTCTCACCGATATGTAGGGTTTACCATCATCGATTTCAATCGTGTCGAAGTTGACAGAACTTCTGAATTTGAATCTGATAGACATAACCTAACTTTGTTTCTGATCCGTCAGAGGAATTCAATTGGATGTTGCTACGAAAAACTATACGATCGACGATTATGAGATCGGTTTGCGACAGGAGAAAAGAAGAACGAGAGAGAGAGAGAGAGAGAGAGAGAGAGAGACGATGGAACTCACGAAAGTGTGGAGAGTTGGAATTCCAAATCTGTTTCTTATTTGGGGGGTTGGTTTTGCCAAACAAATACACGAAAACGATGATATCAAGGAGAGAAACTGGAAAAACAAAACTAAAGAATTGATATAAGCCATGAAATTGAGATTATCCAAAGGGGATCGCATCTTTTTAACGTTAAAATTAGGTTAAATCATATATTGAGAATGTAAAATTGAATTTTTATATTAATATACACAAGGAGGAAAGTATTGGATATAGATATTTATATTTTTATTATAAAGTATTTGATAAAAAAATTTAAAAACTATTTTTTATTAATGAAGTATGGTTTATTGATACATATTACTTAAAATGTAAGATTATAAATAATTTTATGTAAGTACAATTTATTAAAAACTTTATTTTTAAATTCGTATAATTAATTGCTCATAAATATAATCAAATACAGGATAAACATTCGTTTTAAATATAGAAAATTTAAAATATAATTAAGATAATCATTGGATTCTAACAGAATGTTTAATTATTGTCTTTATAAAAAAATAAATCAAAAATAAATTATTTTGTTATTAAATATAAATTAAATTATAATAAAAAATTAAATTAAATAAGTTACACCAAAAAAACGAGAACTATTCAATAGTTAATTTGATATTAATATCAATTTATTTATTTTTTTCAAATTTATATTGCATTCAAAAATAAAAGCATTACCGCTTTCTCAAAACCACATAAAATTATATTATATCGATAGAGACAAAGAATAAAAACTAAGCATTAAAATCGAAATTTATCTTGCCGCATTGCGTCAGTACCCTTCTAGTATTTAGTAATGTATAGGTTGCAATTGGTCTCTCTTTTACCTAACATTAGAGGGTGCTTGGGATTGCTTATTTAAAACAACTTTTTTTTTATTATTAAAATGTTTATTAACTCATATTGTATCAAACCAGAGTTTTATAAAAAAATGTTTAGATTAGTTTAAGGCGGTACCATAGACTTATTTGTTTTTTAATATATAACAGTTTATTTTTTATCATTTATAATAATATTTTTAACAAAATTTTATACCAATAACATTAATAATTTATAACAAAAGGGACCAAAATCGTAGTTTACTCCTCTACCTATTCATAAAATTAATCAGCACTTTTTCAAAATAAATATTCAGAAATTTGATCAATCAAAATGAGAAAGTTTAGTTGTTTTTTCATTCAAAAAAATAGTTCATCGACTTAATCATTCAAAATAAAAAAATTTAATAATTTTTTTTATAAAAAAAATAATTCAAAAACTTAATCATGAAGTATTTCGTTGGATCTTTCTAAAATTTTCCTTTCAAATAATCCATCTTTCTTTTAAAATAAAGGCATTTTCTTTTAATTTTTAAATAAAAAATGGGTAAAAATATGGTAAAATTCGGAGTCAAACTAAATACAATCAAAAATCGATAACTTCATTATATACAGTGCTCGCGTAATGCAGTTAGGCACATTTTGATTTTAATATTCTATTTTATTATTTGTCTCTGTCGATGTTATAATACGATTTTATGTGTTTTAAGAAAGTAATAATGATTTTATTTTTGAATAAAATATAAATTTGAAGATATCATAAAAATTTAGAAAAAAAAAATATATCAATGTTAATATCAAATCAACTATTTAAAAGTTCTCATTTTTTATGTAATTTATTTAAATTTTTTTCATTATAATTTAATTTAAGTTTAATAACGAAACAATTTATTTTTTGTTTAATAATATAACATTTTATAAAGATAATAATTAGATATTCTGTTATAACTCAATGATTATCCTAATTATATTTTAGATTTTTTATATTTAAAATGAGATGTTTATCCTGTATTTGGTTATGTTTATTTGCAGTTAGTTACACAAATCCAGATATGGAGCTTTAATAAGTAGTACTTACGCACAATCTACTTGCAATCTTAAGTTTTAAGTAATATGCATTAATAAACAATATTTTATGCATAAAAAATGATTTTTAAGAATTTATGTCAAATGCTTTATAATATAGTATAGATTTGATATCAATTTTAATAATTTTTCACAAATTTTTTTTTAGTTGTCTAAAACTCTCTTATTTCAAGGTTCTTTCTATATTTTTTTTCTCATATTCACAATTGTTATAATATTTTATAAAATGTACTTGTTCAAGGATAACTTTATATTTTTTTTAATTATAATATTACTTTTATATTATTAAAATAATTTTTGTTTTGTAAGGGAATTTGAGTTCCAATACTTAATAACAGCAGTGGCGGACCTATAATTTTTGTTGAGTAGATGCACTTTTAAGGTGGATCAAAGCCTCATGAAATCGTCGAACATGATTTTAGCTCAAATCCAAGTTTTAAGTGATATTTTTAGTCTTTTTGTTGATTTCGAGATTTTCCCGAATTTTTGGTTGATTTCAGTTTATTTTTTCAGTTTTTTGGTTGACGTTACTTGTATTCTCTGGAAGCACTTTTCAGACCCAAAAGAAATTATACTTATGAAAATAAGTTGAGTTGGTGCATGGTACCCCGCCCAAGACTTAGTAGGTCCGCTCCTGGATAAGAGCACCTCCAACTTGCCGATAGAAATGAAGTTTTGTCGATGATATAAAGACCGGTAAAATGACGTTTTTCTTAGGGAGACGTTATATTTGGCGTTAACTATTCATCGTTGTTATTGTATTCGATAATCGAACTATAGAGGTTTCTTCACAGTTTCAAGTTCACCGTTGATCTTCGGTTTTTTATCAGATATCGTTGTTACAACTTAATTAGTTAGGTATTTCAGTAAAAAAAATCATCATTTACCAGGTTTTAACACCAAAAAAGGTCAATTGCACGTGTATATGAGTCTCTTAATGCATCATGTATATATAAAATGACATAGTTTTACGATGAAATTTCATTATAATCCTTATATTTTACACGGGTTGGGTTTCAATGAGAATGAGAGTTAAGGTGAGAAACACAAGAAACGCAAGAAACGATTTCCACCATCGGATGCACATTAGGATTAGATGTACCATGTCATGCAAGAGGTACATCGAATTTTGGAGACACCCCGTAATGTTAATGCACCAAATCAATCCCCATATCATACGCAATTCATGGGTGGGTTTGAGATTAAAGGTGATCAAGGGTCCCCTTCTTACATTTCTCACCTTAATTTTTCTTCTCACACGATCATTCGCCTATTTTGTAGATATATTATGAACAAAAAAGCATTGCAATGTGATTTATTTTCTTAAGTGATGTATTTTTCGTTCAATAAAATTGAACTTTCCTTGCATCTTTTGAATGCTCGTTTATCTTTTATCAATGTCTCAACGTATGAAAATTAATAAAGATCGTTAACGCAAATATTTTTATAATGTCATTTAGAGGCGGGGTCAGGAATTTTCATGTAACATATAATAAGTCACAATTTGTAATCTGACTGTCTAAATCATCTCACTCATATTTGATATTTGATATAAATCTGGTTTCAAAATATTTGAGAACACCCAATACAATGAATTAAAAACAACATGCCATATCTTAAGTCATTACAACATAATATACTTAGTAGACTATCATGCGTATGGTTGAATCAAACATTTAAGTGTTTTAGATCTAGACGACAAAAAACAAACGATCCACTAATAAAGACAGTGCTTTGAAAAGATTCATATATAGCTAGGGGGAGGCTAATACAAATAGATGAAGCATGTCAACAGAAGTACATAAAAGACAGATGACTCGACACAAACATAATCTTGACCGGAAGGAATTATGATTGATACCTAACTGTTCATACATTTTCATACCACATATTGGTTACGTGCTAGAATAAGACCTAATTTGCCAATCAATTATGCCAATTTGGTGGGATCCACTTTTGTCAGTTGGTTGACTCGAATTAGCAGAAAAGTCAAATATGTCATGTATCTTGAAAATTCAAAAAATTGTCAAATTTGGAGATATTTGGCAGAATACACGTGATGGGCTCTCAGTGGTTGGTGGCGAAGCTTGAAAATGTGGCGTAATTGGTTGATGAAGCTGGGTGCTGTTTCTTTAAAACTTACAAAAAGATGTTATTTTTTTAGCTTTTCATGATATAAAATGCTAGTTTGGTGGAAAACTCAAATCATGGTTGGTTTTAGCACGATTAGCTACAGCTACTGCCTGAACCAACATCAACATCCTTAATGGTGGTCCTACAAGCGACACAAGAAAAGAATATGTGAAAAGGCCCGGAAGAAAGGAAATCATCAAAGGATGATCTTGTTCGTGAGCATTTTATCACTACTCACATGTAAAGTTGATATTAAAGTATGAAATTGATGTGAAGTTTTTAATGGGCATCAACGTAATTACGTTACCACCCCTAATGTTCTATTTTTGTTTACTATGATTTTAGTTATGGATTAACTAACTGGATTCCTGTAGGCCCATAATTGTTCTCCGCATTTTCACAAAACAGATGGTGTTCTCGTTTGAACCCCCACTATCTATACTATCTTATAATGCATTTGGCTAAAACTCTTAATCTCTTAAACTCTTAAACTCTTAAAAACAACTTTTTAAGCATATAGCACAACCTATTAAAGCATATCCCTAAAAACAAATCCCTTCTTATCGCCATCCCTAAAACAAATTCCCCATTTTATCGCCATCCCTAATCTAAACCCAAATCCCTAATCGATTTCAAACCCATGACCAGATATTTTGATGAAATCGATTTGGGTTATCGCTTCAAACAGATTATGAGATCGATTTTGATTTCGATTTCTATCTTATCCCTAAACCCAATTCGACTTTCTCGCCATCCCTAATATAAGGATCGATTTGGGTTATCGCTTCAAACAGATTATAAGAGATTTCGATTTCTGTTGACTCTGTTTGCGGTTCGAGAATTTGCTACTATCAGTATATGGATTTTGAGGTACGAAGTTTCTTATTTGATATTTTTTATGTTTCTTAGGGTGTCAAAATTAATGACTTCTGTGAAGAGCTGATAGCCTTGAGGT